GAGGTAGTAAGAAATATCAGAGTCTCTGAGGTACCTGAGAGAAAACGGAGGATTTAGCTATACTAAAACGGGGAGAAAATGGATGTCAACTGGGGGAGTCAATAAAGAAGTTCTAGCTATATGTTTTATGGGCTATTGATCGTAATATGAATCGTCTGATTTTACGTTAACTAACATGTACGACCGTGGTCAGTACACTGTCACCCACCTGGTCACCGAGATATGCTAGGGACTGTCAGTTGATTGAAAATATCCAAAGGAGGGCCACCAGACTGGTGCCTGCACTACGGCACCTCAGCTACCGTGAGAGATTAGAGCGCCTGAATTTGCCTAGCTTATACTACAGACGTGCAAGGGGTGACCTAATTGAGGTGTATAAACATCTCAAAGGGCACTACTCAGTCGAGTGCCCTTACCTGAAGCTGGCGGACGCTTGCCCCACAAGGGGTCACAGCTCACGGTTGAAGAAGCCGCAAGCTCAGAAAACTGTGTCGGGTAACTTTTTTCTGAGTGAGAGTTGTGAACTCTTGGAACAATTTGCCAGAGAGTGTTGTGACAGCACCGAGTGTGAGCTCTTTCAAGACCAGACTTGACCAACACTGGAGCAGGTTTAGGTACATTCAGGAGCCGGTGCATGCCCAGTACTTGCCAACAGCGCGTAACAGAGACGTGACCGATCGCCCAAGCGGCTAACGAGCCGATCATTGGTGAAGAGAATAAATGTAAAAGTAAATACACCACAGCGAACGTGACAAGAAAGAAAGAAAGAAAGAACCTGCCCAGTTACTATATCTTCCCAGTCATAGCTAGCTATCCTCTTCCCCAGCACCATGTCTTCCCAACCCCACCCAGCCATCTTATCTCCCCATGTCCATCAGTCCTCGTAATGTAACACTGGACAAACTTACAGAACGGCTAGTAAGCTGATAAGTGGCGGGAATACATTTGTGGATTAAAAAACACGTAAATATTTCACTCTTAAAAGGATAACACGCGGAAATTGTCTTCCGGGTTCGCCTCTGAAAGCTCGGGTGTACTAAAGTATAATAAAGCTAAAATTAAAGAAGTTAAACAGGGACATATTCAGAAGCTATATTTTAGGATAACATAGTTGATGTTTAGATGACGTAGCTAAATAAAATGATCAGTTTAATGGTAAAGTTTCAGTATATATCAAAGTAAATATCAATGAAAACTGAGATATAAATAAAATGTCAAATAACTCACTTTGAAATATAAAAAATGACCAAGTGATAGAGGTAAATGGAATAATATAATACGTTAAGAATTAGACCTACAAATAGAATAAGACTTAAATATTAGAGCTAGTGTCTTGGGTCGTGCTCGTGGTAGACCAGCAGGCAGGAGAAGTGTCACATGACCCGACCTGACCACCAAACAACGTTAACTGAGGTCAAATGTGAAAAGGACATAAAAGTGTATATTAACAACGAACTAAAAATTCTAAGACCATTGTAAGTATTAACTATTATGATTTATACAAAGTAGGCAGCTATCAAACAGGGAGGTACTACTGCCTGGGAAGATATTGGAAGTATAATGTGTCGTCTAATGGTAGACCCTGCTGCCATATGGCATCACGAAAATTGTGACCAAGTCCCAGGTTGCTGATCTGACTTTCTGCCTCATTTACACACAATTGCAGGGTCTCAATAGTTTCTCTTACATTGACAACACAACATATATACTGTACTGTTCGTCGTCTCTCACTCTTCATTTATTTGTTCGGTTTTGTATTTATTTATGGTTATAATTGTTATTAATAGTATTTTTATTATATTATTATTTTATTTATATTTTTTATTTTTATTTATTTTTAATAATAGTAATAATAGTGATGATATGATGATGATGATGATGATGATGATGATAATGATAATAATAATAATAATAATAATAATATTGCTATTACTGTTGTTATTATTATTTTTTTTATTATTGGTACATGTATTAATATTATTGTTATTATTAGTATTGTTATTATTATTATTATTATTATTATTATTATTATTATTATTATTATTATTATTATTAATATTATTGTTGGAATCAGGTATCATGACCGTGCTGATAGACTGGCCAATGAGGCATGTAAGATAGAAAATGTTGACCGTGACCTTGGTCTGTCCAATGCTGTAATTAAAAACATTCAAGTCAGAATCATGAACTCTGATCTAGAAGAAGTGAGAAATGCAGAGACCTGACAGTTGTAGCATTAGTAAATATGACAAATTTTGTGACAAGAGGTACCGGTATGGCCAGCATAAGGACAGAACCAGACAATGTGATGTAGTCGTGGCCAGAATTAGGCTAGGATACAGACACATCTGGCAGGTTAGTAACGCTGTACCCATACCGGAACACTCAGCAGGTAAACTTTGTGATAAACCTTTAAAGCATACACTCGAACACTATATTATTGAATGTGACACTGTCAAAGACTTCAGGCCACCTGGCTTATTGTATCTTGAACTATATAATTACTTCATTGAATCAGGTGTGCTTGAGGACATTCTTGCTGTTTATCTCAAATTTGCTAGCCCACACTGACTAGTCTTCAATTAGAATATGACTCCAATGTATGTGATCCACTGACCTATATATACTGCTAATGAATATGATGTATTTCCTTCTTTGTGTACGAACCTCTGTCCTGCATGGCAGTGAACAGTGGCATTACCCACATGAATCTGACCTATATATAGTGTCAATGAATATGATGCATTCTTTGTGTACGAACCTCTGTCCTGCATGGCAGTGAACAGTGGCATTACCCACATGAATCTGACCTATATATAGTGTCAATGAATATGATGCATTCTTTGTGTACGAACCTCTGTCCTGCATGGCAGTGAACAGTGGCATTACCCACATGAATCTGACCTATATATAGTGTCAATGAATATGATGCATTCTTTGTGTACGAACCTCTGTCCTGTATGGCAGTGAAGAGTGACATTACCCACATGAATCTGACCGACGTATATGTATGTATGTATATGTGTATATATGTACATGTATATGTGTGTGTATATATGTATATGTATGTATATGTGTATGTGTGTGTGTACATATATGTATATGTACTGTCAATGAATATGATGCATCTCTTTGTGTACGAACCTCTGTCCTGCATGGCAGTGAACAGTGACATTACCCATATGAATCTGACCTCTATACATTTATAGCTGTTAATGAATATGATGTATTTCTTTGTGTATGAACCTCTGTCCTGCGTGGCAGTGAGAAGTGATACCACCCTCAGTGTCAAGACCTGACTGAATTACTCAGAATAGGCAAACTGTACTACAAGCTTTGTCAATAAATTTGTTAAACTAAAAGCCCCCCCAGGCCCTGATGTGGGTCAGTGACCTGTGCCCCGGTGGGTTAATCCCCGTAAAAAGAGAGAGAGAGAGAGAGAGAGAGAGAGAGAGAGAGAGAAATCATAACTAAGTTTCCCCCTTTGGGAAATTCTGGAGTTTAGTGGAAAGAAAGATTCAAAAGTTTATTTAGATATGACAATGAATTAGTGGGTAGAGGAGGGGAAGTCTGTCTGCCATTCCATATATGTATGATAGCCTCTGTCGGTCTGTCTGTCTGTATGTATTTGTCTGTGTATCCATATGTGTCTGTCTGCCTATATCTGTGTGTCTGTCTGTCTGCCTGTCTGTCTGCCTGTCTGTCTGTGTTTATATCTGTATCCGCCTATATTTGTCTGTCTGCTTAAATCTGCTTGTTTGTCTGCTTGTCTGTTTATCTGTCCGTCCAAATGTATATGTTTATCGTCTCGCATTTTTTACAACTTATAATAGTTGTTATAATACTGGTGATGTTTTCCTCCTATGCCGTCCCTATATAACAATTACTTTCTCCATAACAACGATATGTATGAAAAAAAAAATAACGCCGTCATAACACCTACCAGACAACCCCTCCCGCAACACCACCAAGGCGTCAGCTGATCAATGAACTACTCGCAAAAAATATTATACACAAGAGCAGGGGGTCCAAAGTGAGCAATGGGAGGTCCCTCGCTAATGTGTTGTGTGAAACGTGAAAGTGTAAGAGTTCCGAGTTTGTTTGTGGGAGATGTGCGAATTCATATGATTTTGATAAAGTTGTCCATTAAAAAATCCCGTTTTCTTTTTCCTATCTTGTTCCAAGGCAGCTCACGCGCTGATTGGCTGAAATTTCTTACGGTGCCAAAAGGCAATAGACTTCGGGAATATGCGTCCCAGGTGTCAGTTTTCCTGGCAAGACAGTGAATGTATCTTCTAAGTATCTTAAAAGGAAAAGCTTACCATAAGAGAACCTCAGAATCGTTTTGTTCTGTTGTGTTACTTACGAGGAAATCTTCCAAGTCGGGCTTAAATGCCAAGATGCGATAAATAAGATTGTAATAATAATTAAGTAAAAAACAGAACCAGAATCCCCGGGATACATGACGTTAATGCTCCGTCCGTCGAAGGAGGTTTAAGCTTGTAACTAGTGGTAGTTCGCAACCTAAGACAGAGTTCAATTTACAATTGTTTCGTGGTTATGGTTCAGATGGTTCTACAGTACTAGTTGACTGTGTAGTTTATGCCAGTGCCGTCTTTCCTGGCCTGACTGACGAAGATTCTTCGTCACTGAGTGATGAAACATTTCTCGTCCAAGACCCTTGTTTTACCCTTCTGACCTCCGTGACCCTCCAGGTGCAGGTGGTTATATAGAACAAAATTTCCCCAGGCGTAAGGTAACTTTACTGTGACGACAGCTGTCATAACCCATACCCATTCTCTATCCTCAATTTTCCTGTTTTAGTGATGATTGTGGTGATTTTCTGCTGTGGTGTTTTTCCGACAGTACGTCTTCTACGCTCACCAAATGTGTTTCATAAACATTGTAATACACGATGTTAACAGCATATAATATTATCAGGTAGTGTCTTGCTATACAGTCGTCAAACTAAAGAAACTGCACTTTAATTTTTGACGTACAAAATTGGAGCAGTCAGAGAGCGACTTCTGTTCTGCTTGTAGCCTGAAGTTTTCAACTGTTCAACCTGTTGATTGCAGGGAGCTTTCTTCCGGGCCGTGTGGTCAGCGCAGCCATTTGACAGATTGTTGGTCATCCTTGTGAAATATTCTTTGATCCACGAGGACTGCCGCAGTGTGCGCAACAGAACACTGTACTGTCAGTTTCAGAAGGTTAGTTTACTGTTAAACAACTTAATGATGACCTGAACAACGAGTGCTGGTTTGTAGCCTATATATTCATTACATTGTTTACGTCCATAAGTATCACTTGTCCTTCTGCTACAGTTTCTTCCTTGGAACCAACAGCACTTATTACAACGATCCACGTCCACATATACCAAAGTTCGTACGATAACTTTTCTCCATAACAAGAGATGAGAAAATATATTGTCGATGCCACTGAAATATAGCCTGTTTATTAATATACCCTCTCCATTGCTGTAAGTCTTCGCGTCTACTGATGTACTTTTCTATACGAGGCTAAAATACAGGGAGGAATTTGGTGTTCCCCGCCATAACAGAATGTTCTCAGGCGCCCATACTGTGGAGACCAGTCAGTAGTCCTAAAATCAAATTACGGAGTTTTCTTATGGCTAATATAAAATCCAGACAATGCAGTTTTGGTCGACTAGAAGCCAGAAATATGTATCTTATTATTTTTAATTGCTGATTACTGGTATATTTGCTAACCTACCTGTAGAATGCACGCTTATTTGTTGAGGATACTCCGGCTACACCAACGCTCTCTCCACCCTGGAAATGCCATCTCTCAGTGACCTCCACCACCAAGCACTGGTAAGGTTTGGCAGTGGACTTCTGCACCACCCTCGCCACCTCCTGCAGCCCCCCACCCAACTCGCGCAGTCCGCCACTACAACAAAATACAGCCATAAGAGCCCGCACCGATAGATATAAGAACCGCACCATCCCATCTATTGTTAAAGTAATAAACAACTCCTGATTTATGGACTGTACAGCCCTGTAAATGTATTCAATGCATATTATATCATTATGTCTAAATCAAATGTAAGTCTGTATATTTTCAGCCACCGGCTGCAACTCTATTAATAAACCGTTTATTATTATTATTTATTATTATTAGGATCAGTAAAAAGTTATAACAAACTGTGTCAGGAATCAATGTGCTTTATACTACACAACTTTAAACGTACAGTACAACAGTACATACACATCAACGGGTAACTGTCCAAACGTATAAAGGTAACATTTAAAGGTGGAATAAGACATCTACCTGACTTTTGGCACTACATAACTTGTGGCACTAGAAGACGTGGTACTATGAGGCTTGTGGCACTATAAGACTCGTGGCACCATGAGACTTGTGGCACTATGAGGCTTGTGGCACTATAAGACTCGTGGCACCATGAGACGTGTGGCACTATAAGATTCATGGCACCACGAGGCTTGTGGCACTATAAGACTCGTGGCACCATGAGACGTGTGGCACTATAAGACTTGTGGCACTATGAGGCTTGTATAATGAGAGACCATGGCACCATGCACCATAAGACCTGTGGCACCATGAGACGTGTGGCACATAAGATCTTTGTGGCACTATGAGGCTTGTGGCACTATAAGACTCGTGGCACCATGAGACGTGTGGCACTATAAGACTCGTGGCACCATGAGACTTGTGGCACTATAAGAGTTGTGGCACTATGAGGCTTGTGGCACTATGAGGCTTGTAGCACCATGAGACGTGGCACTATAAGACTTGTGGCACTATGAGGCTTGTGGCACTATAAGACTCATGGCACCACGAGGCTTGTGGCACTATAAGACTCGTGGCACCATGAGACGTGTGGCACTATAAGACTTGTGGCACTATGAGGCTTGTGGCACTATAAGGCTCGTGGCACCATGAGGCTTGCGGCACTATAAGACTCGTGGCACCATGAGACTTGTGGCATTATAAGACTCTGTGGCACAATGAGACTTGTGGCACTGATACTTGTGGCACTGTGAGGCTTGTGGCAATTATAAGACCTGTGGCACCATGAGACTCCCAGGCACTATAAGACCCGTGGCACTATGAGGCTTGTGGCACTGAGAAGACTCGTGGCACCATGAGACTCTAGGCACTATAAGGCTTGTGGCACTATACACCTTGGCAACATGAGACTCTGTGGCACCATGAGACTTGTGGCACTAAGGAGGCTTGTGGCACCATAAGACCTGTGGCACCATGAGACTTGTGGTACCATAAGACCTGTGCACCATGAGACTTGTGGCACCAGTAAGAGACTGTGGCACCATGAGACTTGTGGTGGACTATAAGACGTAATTAAGGAGGCTTGTGGCACGGAGACTTGTACTATAAGACTCTGTGGCACTATGAGACTTGGTGGTACTATAAGACCTGTGGCACCATGAGACTTGTGGCACCTGCGGGACTCGTGGCACCATGAGTATCTCCCCAGGCACTATAAGACGTGGCACTATGAGGCTCAGGCACCATGAGAATTGTGGCACTATAAGACTCTGTGGCACCATGAGACTTGTGGCACTATAAGACGTGGCACTATGAGGCTTGTGGCACCATGAGACTTGTGGCAATTATAAGACTCGTGGCACCATGAGGCTTGTGGCACCACAAGCACGTGACACCATGAGACTTTGTGGCAGGCACTCAGGTGCTTTCTAGGCACTAGACTTGTGGCACTGCGCAGACTCTGGTGGGCAAATTTTATAAGACTTCTGTGGGTATTATGAGGCATGTGGCACTATGAGGCTTGTGGCACTATAAGACTTGTGGCACTATGAGGCTTGTGGCACTATAAGACTTGTGGCACTATAAGACTTGTGGCATTATGAGGCTTGTGGCACTATGAGGCTTGTGGCACTATAAGACTTGTGGCACTATGAGGCTTGTGGCACTATAAGACTTGTGGCACTATAAGACTTGTGGCATTATGAGGCTTGTGGCACTATGAGGCTTGTGGCACTATAAGACTTGTGGCACTATGAGGCTTGTGGCACTATAAGACTTGTGGCACTATAAGACTTGTGGCATTATGAGGCTTGTGGCACTATGAGGGTTGTGGTATAACTACTAATACTTCCATCACCCATCCGCAGACCTCTTACCATCATCACCACTATTCCCACCAACCATACTAATTCTCTACCACCACCATTACCATCATCACTACTACTACTCATCGGGTTTAGTACAGGATGGGGATTATTTTCTTACTCGTAAAAAGAACAGTGAAGTGACCTCCCCAGTCTCAGGTTAGGTTTTTCCTTTCACGTACTGGGTGTAATATATCCACCATAGCATGTCTCTAGCAACACCAAGAGCACAAAACAACAACATATTATTGGTTCCATAATAATTTGCCACAACTACCACAATATTTATTCTGCTTATAAATATTCTTGCAATTAATTTCTGTAGATGTATGTATGCCATCATAATACAGCTTATTGTCGATATGCAATGAAGAATTTAAGACACATTTTCATTTAAAGTATAGTAAGTATATAGTACAGTATTAACTAGTCAAGTTTGATTTACAACTAGAGGTATTCAGTTTCTAAATTTAACAATAAGTTCTTTACCAAACCATTTATCTATGGTGTTCTCCATTGCATAGGTTGGTAAATCACCACGTGCAACATTTAAATGGTGGTACCAAGTTCTAGTAGGCGGGGCTTAACTTCCAATTTTGGAGGCTCTCCCGTATTTGGCTGTGATGATTTCCTTATTTGGCAAACTCAGCCATTATACACATGAGAATAAGTATTCCTCCGCAACCAATGCAATTACATAATACATAAACATATTTAAAATTTTGTATGAAATCATATAATTCAAACATGTATTTTACTATCTGATACAATATAAATGATGAAGTAAATGAATATCAGGTGTACCGTGGCTGGGAACTATTGTTCGCGCGGAGGAGTCCAAGGGAGTGTGAGTTGCGCGGCACGAGAGATCAGCTGTGTTGAGGTGTTTATGTTCAGTCGTGTTGTGGCCGGGGACCGACCAGGAGTGAATATTTTCGTGGGTGTGGTGAGAACTTCGTGGTCGTGATCATTGCGTGTGCAGTTAAATATGTGTTTTCTGACCTTTTAGTGTTCTGTTCAAGATGCAAAACCAGAGCCATAACAACGTTGAAGACAAGTTTGGAATGAATTTCAGCGCCTTTGACCCCGAGCTGTTCTCACAGCCACACATCGGCGCCGCAATGGGCGGGATGGGGATTGGCATGAAGCGCTCCGCCCACGATGCAGGGCTGGACCGTGAACCATTGGGTCTCTCCTCAGACGACGATTCAGATCTGCTAAAGAAAGACGACAAGATGAACCCGTCGTCGAGCAGAGAGGCAATGCTGCACCACCAGACCTCCCTCGTCGACAACCAGCAGTCCAAGACACTCCCCAACGGCAAGAAAACCAAGGGGCGAGTGAAAATTAAGATGGAGTTTATCGACAACAAATTGAGGAGATATACGACGTTCTCGAAGAGGAAGACCGGCATTATGAAGAAGGTAAATACTTGATATTGTTTCATCTGTCTGGACCTACTCAATGGGGCCCGTCAGTAAGCGTGACAATATCATATGGTTTTCTTGTTTACCATTGCCGTTGTGGAATTTATTCTTAATTGTATTGTATCAACTATAATGTGATTACTGTAAACATACATTGACGCTGTTCAACATTCGGATGTGCTTTAATTATTGGAATTGTGCGTGTTTGACATATAAACAGCAAGTGACGTTACGCTCGGGACGGGGCCCACCGAGCGGGCCGAGCCATTGAGTGCGGGGAGATGCGTGTTGACAGTGTGCAGCATGGTGAAGTTTGCCGTGATTACCGGGCCGCTACGGCACCGTGCACACTCCGACAGTTACACGGAGCTCACCAGCCCGTAAATGATCTGGCGACGCAGTTATTACCTCCGAAAAACAAAGCGTTGGCAGGGGGTTGGTGGTTACCGCCGCGCCCCGCACGTTGATGCGGCCAGGCTATTTTGGTTGTCGGTGTAGAACGGCGGTAACCAGCACCAAGGAGGACGACGAGGCACACTCAACAGCTCTGCCTGCTGGGTGTACTTGCTAGAAGTATAATATGCTTTGCAGATTCACATTTATTACCCTAAACTTGCATTTGCATTCGTTACTAGTATAAAACATTCATTTTATCCACCTGATTCCGGGCACGGTACTGGCAGGAAATAACTATGAGATTGTTGTTGAAGCAATCCTGGGTGTATCCTGGCTGAGGCCTTGGTCACTCACACTCTACATTCTCAAAGTTAATTAGGGTAGACCGTCGTTAGTTTTGGGTAGAATAGGTTTGTTTTAAAAAATTTAATTCGCCTAGTTTAAGTTTGGTTGGGACAAGGTTAGCTTGGGTACATAATATCTTGGTAAGTAATTTAGCTGTCTGAATTGGAATTTAACGTCAAAACTTCGGCAGTGTAAGGAAAGGCCTCCACAGAGTTAGACATGGGTCATAGTTGAGATGATATTTAACCAGACTTGGTGGCATATTTACTAAAAAAAACAATAGTACCTATTATATTGAAATAATAAAGTTTATTCCTTTACGTACATTGTAAAACATGTCATCTCCAGAATGAAATATTAACTTCGTTGTACAGTGTTGTCATATATTACAGCATTATAGATCTTGGTTTATAGTGAAGTTTTATATTAAATCTTCAAACATTAGAATCAAAATAGGATTAATGAAAAAAAAGGGGGACTGTCCTCTTGCTCCGTCGAGTAATGTATTGCTTCTCAAAATGCGTAAAGCATAGATTGACAAAACGCAAGACCGGAAGTGCACACGCCTCTGAAGAAGTTCGGTAAATAGCGTTTGGTGTGTTTATTGATTTTAACTGGTGTGATGAAACGTAATACTTTAATTGTAATGTTAAATGTTTAGTACCGCAATTAATTTTTAGTATTATGTATGAATGATTTTGTAAAGGTTAATATGTGTTGCTAAACATAACAGTATTAGAAAACATAGTTATCAGTTTAAGTCTGACCACGACAGAGTAGGTGGATGTTGCACACCTCCATGAATTGTTGCAGTACGTAGCAGGAACCCGCCCGTGATAAAAGTGGGTGGCTGGTTGGACGGTGACGTTAATTGCTTGTTAGCTGGTCATGGCTCCTACCTGATTACTTATTAACTTGTCTCAGTACGGAGGAGGAATGATTTCTTTTTTGCTTGTATAGTTTTTCAGCCTTGCCAAGGCAGTTTTGACCATTTAGTTCTAGATTCAAGTTAAGCGTAAGTGACGTATACTGTAGTTGTATTTTCTGATACTGTACATGGATGTTATAGGCATTATATATTGCTTAAAGCCGGACGCTTTTATGTGTTGAAAGTGAAGCCGAGTCGTAGGTTTTCTGAGGTGCGCTTCTTAGGAATCCACAGTAAAACTGGTTTTAATTAGTGTAGATTAAAGCTGAGTTCGCTAATTAGTGTAGAGCAGAACAGATGTTGGTGATTTGTCTGCGAGTAAAGTGGCGTGATAGTTTATCATTAACAAAACTGGGAATTTTTACTCTAGGTAAAACTTGTTTTGGATACTTCATCTCAAAAGTTGTTGAAAGTATCTCAGATAACTTGTGGATATTTTCTTGTAAAAGATTTGTGTTTTTTTAACTAGTAAATTCAAATTCCTTAGTAGAGCCGTTTCGGTAATATATCCCAAATAACACTGTTGGTATTTTTTTTCCGAAAGACTAACTTATCGAACAAATCTGTTGGCTATCGATTTTTTGGGACAAATATATTATGGTTGATTGACTCCCAAGGGAAACTGTAGAGGGTAAATGGTTATAGTTATGAATTACTTGTACCTACCATAACTAATGTTGTTGGTGTATCCAAAATAAGGTTGAATTTGTATCTAAGCAGTGTTATTTAATGTGAACGTTTCATGTTATGAGTGTATATTATTCCAACTCCAATTTCCTCAAATTATGTTTTATGAAATAAAAGAATATAAATTATGGTTGAAACTAGTGAGTACTATAACACTGTCACTGCAACGAGTCACAAGAGTTATCTAGCAAATATCTTGAGTTTGGGGTGGACCAGGCATGGTTACATAATAATTAATGTACTCTGTGTACTCGTTGACGATAAAAATTTATGTCCAACAAACTCAATTGATATATGCAGTTGTAAAATAAGTAAGATGGTACTTTTGAATGGAGCGTGTTCTTTGGTAATGTGCACTCGACCGTGATAACGAGTTATCGCGTTATCAAAATGCATCACAGCTAATACCGTACTACTGTTAAAAGGATGCTTCATTTTATCTTCGAATGAAAAAAGTTTAATAAAAGGCTTACACTAATCACTGCTAATACAGGAACCGTCGAGAACCTGCTGTGAACATCCTGGTAAGTGATAAGGTGTTGGTCGTGAGTGCTACTGTAACACCGTGAGCACCGTGTTGTGTAGTGTATATCTTCATTATACGAAGAAGTGTTGTGGTGTACTGTGCAGTGTATGTTAGGTGATGTGTGTGGAGGCCGTACGTGTGTGTGGATAATTGAAGTGGTTTCCATGTAAAGAAAAACTATAGTATTGACTACAGAATTAACTATTGTGTCGATGAAATGTATTGCTTGGGATGAGACAGCATTCCTAGTAGGCTTTTATCATGAGATGTAAGTGTGGCGTTATAGAATATTATACAATATGGCTTTAAGTGATTAAAAGTGATGGTTGACTTATCGCCTCAAACGTCCCCCCTCCCCCTCGTTTTTCTTTTCTTTGTTCCTTCTTTGGGTTTTAGCCGAGTGATTTTCTTTTATTTGAGATTAGACAGTATTTAGATGTTGTCTGCAAAGAATTATATAATTATATTTTATTTTGAATGACTAATATAGCCTTGTCAGTAAGTGTGAGTAGAGTGAACGAACATGGATATGGATATCTAGTTACTCAATAACAGATTTATTTTATCTATGTGATCGGTGAATGATGTTCGTGATATCCTGAAACATTATCGAATGAGTGAAAAAAAATATGAGACCAAATACTAGCCTACCCTCTAGTGTGTGCAAGTCCAGATGTGCTCTAGTTCATTTACGCTTTTGTTCAGCAGACTTGTGGAGTGCAAAATGTTATTCATCAACAATAGTTCTCTTTGTTGTTTTCTTGTTACAAATTGATAGTTCAAAATCTACAAAGGAATATACAGTAAATATTTTTTATTTCATTTCCCTGAAGATTTAAACGGTATATTTTTCGACTCGTTTCGGCCAGTAAAAATTTGCTCACTGGTTATAAATGATGCAGTAACACATTTTTTTCCTAACACCCACGAAACTCGTGGAATTTTGTCATACATTTTGAGCTTCTTGGTCAACATTTAGGCTTACGCTACTACACATCTGGAACTGTAAAGCATAGCAGTGCGTGGTGCGCTCTGGGTAAGACATAATAGCCGACTCAATAGAACGACTTTCTGAGTGTGTGTGTGTAAAAGGGGACGAAGAAATAAATATTTTTTGTAGGGAAAAGGGTCTTGGCTCCGCATGTTATCGGGGAAGAGAATATATATATGAATAGTGTAGTCTGCTGTGTGGGTTGGCTCGGATGAGGGGGCAGCAGCGTCATTCCTTATTGTTAAGCAGTAATTCCGGCGTTCAGAACGCTCCCTCACATTAGATACTATCGCGGTTGTTTGTATCGCCACTATTCTGCTCCTGACTAATGAGAAATTACAGGAGCTGTTCCCATTGTTTTCTTCTCTGGTTTTGCTAGTCTAGCCAAATTAATAGTGCCCTTAAATTATCTGATCCATTTTAAATTGATAATTTCAAAAACATTTTACTTTAGATAGAACACTCCGGCTATACTTGATGAACAGTAAGTTATTTTTTTGAGTAGACTTCCACATGTATCGTGTTCTGTCTGTAATATATATTTTTTATTGAATTCTGAAATGGGTCAGGTAATTTATGGACATCCTGTATTTATTATAATTTGCAAGTGACAACATGCTCGCCTCACAAGCGAGCGGACATGGGTTCGATCCCCGGGCAGGGTGAAACAATGGGCAAGTTTCTTACGCTATTTGCCACTGTCTACCCAGCAGTAATTGGGGACCTGGATGTTAATCGATTTGCGGATCGTGTTCCGGAGTAATGGTTAGCCAGTGCAGTTGGCGAGTTGTCTGGTCTTCTCGGACCATACCTTGATACAGGGTCATGCAGTTCGTTAACTTAGGTGTTTGTTGTTGTGTTGGTGACATCTACACTTTAAAGAAATTCACGTCTAGGTGCTCTGGGGCTGGCCATCCTTGTTACATGAGGGGCAACCATTATATATTTATGTACTCAGGGCAAGATGCGTGGTGACTCGTAGGCATATACTTCCGGTTATTGGTGTAGCGTTTTAAGAGATGTTGTATGATAGATGTGGAAGGTGATCATTATAGACAGAGGTGTAATTTTGAATAATAGGTTTATTTTAAACTGGATGTTGAAGCTGTTTTTTAAGTAAAAAT